CCTATCACCTCCCTTTTGATGCTGCTAATCCTGCATAATGCACGGGCATAAGTAGTACTAATCACACAACTGCATTTCCCATAAATATGCTAAATTCCTCTTGATATGCAAATTATTTTGTCAAGGCGACCTTCCCCCCCTTCCAACCCAGCTTAAATATACGCTCCAAACGTGGTGCTGTTTCATTCAGACGCTGTCTCCCCGACAGACCTGGTCTTCACCTGAGGACGGCTGCTTGCGTTGTGACCGAAATGTCGTGAGAATTATTTTATTATGTTTTATTTTATTCTTTTATTATTTCCATTCTACGTGACTTTACCGAAAGAACCAAGAAGAAGGTAGGCGACTGTTCGTTTTTATTCGCGGCTCTTGAATAACAACCGCCGATTATTACGCGCGGTTCAAGCCGACGTTTTGTACGCTTAACGGCAAAGGCGAGGTTGCCCATTAGCCGCTCCGTTATGAGGGGAAAAGAAAAAAAAACCCAAACCACACCTAGAAACGGCGCTACTTCTGTGCTAAAACCATGACGTGCCACACGAATCCCGCGCGACTGCTCATCGCAGCGAGAAAACGGGGAGGGTGGGGCGATGGAAAATCTGAAGCGGCAGCATTAAACTACATTTTTGTCCTGACAAGCTTCCTTGTACAGCGCGCGCACACACACAGTGTTACACAGACCACCTACATCCGAGTCCTGATGGGTCTCAGTATGCTTTTCAGCGTAAGCTGAGAGTGGCCAAGTTTAAGAAGTAGTAAAAATTTACAACTTGTAACGGGAGCAGTTTTCGTTCACTATCAGACTGAGACGAGAGAGAAAATGATTCAGAGGTTCAGCAAACCACAAACAAGTGGAAGGGTGGCCAGAACCGGCACTAACAATTACCCGAGTTCTGTGCTCCTACATTGGGATGCTCGGCCAAATGCAAAGTGGGGTGAAAATTAGAATTTTTTACGGCGGTTTCTGTAAAAAAAAAAAGTTAAATTTAATTGCGATGATAAACAGATTCAACTGCACAAGACTTTGTCAATCCACTGCTGGAAGAAGGGCTCCCCCCATGCTGTGCGGGTCGTGGGGGGTCGTTTGGCTATACTTCACCATGTTGGCCAGTGCGAGTTAGCGAAGGCCGGCAGCCTAAATGTGTGAACGCAGAAGTAGAGTTTTTACAATGGATTTTGCGGCAACTGCCCTCTCTCTCTCTGGCAGTCCACAACGCAGGTTCCCAGGTCCAGGAGACGATGATCTACAACGACCGTCATGTGAGGAGGTGGCCAAGGATCGACCACGCGTATCTCGCGAGATCCAACGATGAGTTCGGGCGCATTCCGGAATGATTCGGTCAGAGGCTTGCCATTTAACTATTACATTTAAAAACGTAAAAGCGGTTTCCCCCACTCGAATGGGTGTGCGGGTGGTGCGTTGCTAAAGTTTGCAGCCCACGGTTGATGGTGGAAAATTCCACATTCCTTTTCGGAAAAGAGAGTTTTGTCCTTGGGACGACCACAACGAATGAAGGGTGAGTAACTCCCCCAACCAGGATTTGAACTCGCAACCTTCCCGATTGCACCTCGGCGTGCTCCGACCACTGGCCAGATAACCAATTAAAACCACCAAAGAAAGAAAATAAAACGTCACCTCGAAAAGTAAATGTCTCGAACAAAGTGGTGTGGGTTTTTTTTTTTTACCTGCCGCAATAACTGTGGGGGCGTTTGAGACATTTTTTTCTGCTAAAAAACACCGTGTTGGTGACACTGATAACAACAAGCCTGCAATAACCGCGAACAGGCCACGCTTAAAACGATCAGTACCTTCCCTTTCAAGCAAGCTTCAGAACTGCAACAGAAAAGCTATATTTTACTGCCTCTTCAAAAAAGTTTGCTGCGCAAAAATTCCGGCTGTCATTGGCCACGTTCTGAGCGCGGTTAAATTCGCTCGATGCCTTGAAGAAAGTGGCACTTTCTTGTCTCCGCTAAGGAAGGAGGAGTGCAATAAATAAAAATGTAATGCTTTAAAATGATATCCGAGACTTTGGGCTCTTTAAAAAGTCAATCAGCGCACCATGACAAATGCAAGGGCTCAAGTTAAATTAGTATGGTACTCGACAGCTGAAAGAGGTTGGGAAAAATCATAACCGCCATCTGGCGAAACTAGCAATCCACTTTAATTACACTGCAAAGCGTTCGATGCGGAATACTGTTAAATTCTGCAAAGAGCCAATTTCAATTTCGTTTGACCAAATTTGTAATTTTTAGCCCGTAAAAAAATATATTGTTTTAAAACATCCAGTGGAATGTTCATGAAGTGCAACTGTGGCTATAGCACAAGTGCAAAACAACTGTTGGCATTGTTGCCAGACAAAGCGAAACATTGTACAAGCGCTGATTGCTCAACGAGTATAAAAGGTACACCGTCACGCTCGCTAATTGCATCCACGCGGGCGCTGGAGTTGACAAATTTTATGGCCGCGTGATGTTCTCCCAAAGCGGCACGGCCTCGCGAAAACAAAAGGAGGAGCGCGCGGGCCAGAGGGTTGGAAGGGCGGGGGGGGGGGCGAGTGTTAGCCTTCACTCAGTGGCGGCCACTCAAGTCAATGATAAGGCAGTTAAAATCCACTATTTGCCCACTTCCTGATTCATTGTAACAAACACGAGGCTGGGGAAAAAGTCTGGCAGCGGAGGACAAGCAGCACAATAAAGCTGTGACAGGTGCAGGAGGGATGAGGCGAGCAGAGCAAACAGACCGACACAAAGCCGGGCCTTCTCTTTCTCCCTGCCGCCCCTCGGCAGCGTGGTCCCCCCTCGCCCGCCCCCTGCCAAAAGCGCTCACCCCACCTCTCCCAGCCCATTCCAAAAACACCTACGACCTTCCTACCAAGGGTCACGGAGATAATCAATCCAACGACTCTCGTCAGATTTAAATAGCGGGGAGCGGCGGCGTGCTCGCGACAGGAGCTTCATTTCGATTTAAAGCTTTCGTGACTGCAGGGATTCAATATGATAATATGACTTTGAAACCCCCCCCACCTCCTACGCATTCCACAAGTAGTGACTAATCCCATATCTGCATTTCCCATAAATATGCTAAATTCCTCTTGATATGCAAATTCCTTTGTCAAGGCCCCCCTTCCCCCCTCCAACCCAGCTTAAATATACGCTGCCAAGCTTGGTGGTGCCCATTCAGACGCTGTCTTTCCAACAGAACTGTTCTTCACCTGAGGACGGCTGCTTGCGTTGTGGCCTAAACGTCGTGAGAATTATTTTATTACGTTTTATTTTTATTATTTTATTTCCCTTCTACGTGCCTTTACCGAAAGAACCAAGAAGAGGAGCTCCATTGTTGCACGGGAAACGTGTGGGATTAACGCAAAGATTTTTACGACTGTCCCCGTCAAAATGAGATTTATTCTTTTTCTGATGCTAAAATCAAAGGCGAGACACTGACGCAAACGAGCCAGGAAAAATGTAAAATCGTGCATACGGACGGATCGTGTAACGCTTCCCAACACGCGTTTGTCTTTGGAAGCGTTTAATCACACAGAGCGTCAGCTGCAATGGTGAAACGCGTTTGTACATTTGCAAATGGTTATTTTTTTGTTTTTGGTCTGTAAGTGTTGTGTAACGCTTAGATAAATTCAACCGGCTTTCTCCAGGGTTAAGTCCCAAATAGCAGCAGAACTCTGAACTAAAGTTTCGTCCATAAGTGGATGGACAGAGCTTACGCATAAACATTTTTGACCCGAGTTGTGGAGCATAAAAATATACTGATGGCTGTTATTGAATTTTCTTAACAAATACAACATAAATTAATTGGAGCGTGGTAGATCCTTTAAATGCTCTGCTGCAAACACCAAATCACCGATTTACATCTGAAACCCAATTTAATCGCCCGATTGCTTGTGTTGCAGTCGAAACGTCGTGAGAATTGTATTGTTTTATATTGTTTTATTTAATTATTTCCCTTAAACGTGACTTTACCTAAAGAACCAAAAATATGTATTTATGCTTTGATTTGCGTCGTTCGTTAATCGAAAAAGAGGCAACTTAGAGACGAACCATAACAAATAAAAAGTCAAATGGTACCCATATCAGATGGCTGGGACGTGTTATAAGAAGGAAGGAAAACCGCATTGAACGAAAGGCAAACACCAAGGCAGGAACTGAGAGGTAGACCTAGAAAGAGGTGGTCCCTAAGTGAAAAGATCAGAAAGTCCACGAGCGTGTAGTGGACATGGGGAGATGACAGCCAAGGAAAGGAAATGGATGGGGAAAAAAGAGGACATGAGTGAGATACATGCCAGGGAGTAGAAGAAGAAGCAAAACTGTGAGCTTATTCGTCGCCAGGTGGTGATGGCTATGCACCGCCTGCAATCAAGCGCTATACTGGCTTGAAATTACTATTATTTTTAGTAAACTAAATTTCACTTTTACACCATTGGAACCTCATTTGGCAGAAGAAAAAATATGATAATTGGTTTTTTACCCTTTTATCTGGCAACAAAACTGACTTTTTTACAAGGAGTCATGTTTGCATACACCATAATACCTGCAGTCGTAATGTTAACAAAAAACATAACTCTGATAATGCATGCACTGTCCTTGAAGTTGATTGGTCCACACCCGAAATAGCTTTCCTTAGAGCCTAGTCTCACATGGTGTTGGACCAGATGACGCCAAAAGGCGCACAACTCAAAGACAATGCACCATCAAAGTATGAGAGCTTGGGGTAAGCATTTACACCATTGGAACCTCATTTGCCAGAAGAAAAAATATGATAATTTTTTATTAATCAATTATCATATTTTTTCTTCTGGCAAATGAGGGACCCCAAGAAAAATCGACACGACCACGGGCAGAATATGCAAATGTCAAAAATACAGGCGTCGGGGTCGGGATCAAACCTACGACCTCCTGCATACCAGGGGAGATAGTTAACATCATCATTAGTCACATATCATGAGTAATTGGAAGCAACATGAATTTTGCTCATGAAGCGAACTCACCTGCGCTCATTATCATCCAGGTGGGAGAACAGCACGTTTCTTTGGATGGCTTTGGAGAGTGCAGCCATGGTCTTGTAATCTTTCGGTATCACCTGTGTGCAACGGAAAACAATGAACACGCGCGCACACACACGCGCGCACTCTTACCGAACACATGGCAATTCACACGCATCAAATTCACTATGGCCTGGGACATGGCAAGCTCTTAACTAAACCGACACACGACACCACAAAGTATTTCTAGCTTTGAACAAAACGGCGCTCAGCGGTTCAACACGTGGTAGGCTTTCGCGATCAATATTATCCACCAGAGGCATAAATATAAATGTGTCATTAAACCCCACCACCACCCGGCATGGCCCATAATTAAGAATTCGTCACGCAAACAAAATGCGTCAATTGGTTCCTCTTTGAACACACCGGTGTGTTGGAGAGTAAGACGATAACGTTTACAATTTGAGTACGACGTTTAGCCGATAATTACAACCAGCCTCATCAGGCGACAGCCACAATTGTGGAGAAATCCCCCTATTTCGGTCGTAAAAACAGTGCTGCAGAATCTGGTACATTTCAATCGTTCAACCTGAAAACGGGAACCCCCTTTCAGATCACACGAGATAACTGTGTCGACACGTTTACGCACCTCCAGAAGTGGTGGCGCACACCTGTAATCCTGCACACTTTGGAAGCAACGACTGATGGATCATACAGATTTGTGCAAAACTCTAAAAACTCAATGGGCTGTGCCCCACAGATGGCAGTAAATGAAATGGATTGTTGAATCCCTTTGTGCAGATAGTTAAATTACATTCGCCTGGCACGTGTTGATTTTCTCCGAGTACGCTAGTCTCCTCTGACACGAAATAAAGAAGGAATTGGCCAATCGTCCTAGGATAGGATCTCTTGAAATTTGCAATAATAATAAAAGAGCTTTTATGTGACAGCATCCTTAACGTGACTGCATCACACAACCGTGTACAATCCGCAAAACACGGATGCGCAAATATGTTGGGATGTGTTCGGCCAATTGATTGTTCATACATGTGGGAGGAAACCCACGCGTGCGAGGGGGCAACGCTCTATCCCAAATAGCAAGGACAAATTATATTTTTCCACATTTGCCTGACCGGATCCTCCTGCCGAGCCCAGGCATGGGACCTCGATGCCACCTGCTGGTGGATCGGTGTCACAATTCAACTTGGTGAACACCTTTCGGAGCCGAAGGAATGTTGCAACTCGAAATGCCGCGATTCAGAGTCATCACTAGAATCAGGAACCCATTCTTTAGCCCACGTTCAATTGTTCACGCACATAAGGTAATTCTACAGGGGTCATTTCCCTGGATACATGCATGGGAAAATAACTTCCCCGGGGTCCAACTCTACAGGAAGCAACCAAGCCAACCTTCCCCCGACAAGCCTACCAATAAGAAAACATATTTAAAAATACTCTTTTTAAAAACACACTTTAATGAAATGTACTGTCCGAGCTGCCCCCCCCCTGCCCCCTTCCCCCATCGCCCCTCCCCTCCTTCCACATCCCCCGCCCCTGGGCGTGGCTCCCCGAGGCTTGTCGTGACGTAAGGGGCCACGTGGTGATTTACAGCCAACGTGAGTTGAGCGTCGACAATTAGAGCCGTAAACGTGGACAATTAGAGCCGTTAAAAAAGATGGTTTAAAAATATATATTTTTTATTTTCATTGATAGAATATAGTATTGTCATCAGTATGACATACCTATACCAAGTTTGCAGTCGATAGCACATTGGGAAGTGGGTAAAAATTGAGTTACAAGATTTCTTTTTTGAGGATAAATAAAAGCGTGTAAGAACAGCGAACAAAAAAAGACATCAAAGTTCGCTGCGTATTTGCGCTTCCGTATATGAAAGGCATCCAGCAGAGGGTAGCGCTATCTTTACGCTCATTTTCTCACGCTGTACGTCGCCGGGAGGCAAACGAGGCAAGCTTCTCAATCAAAGCGGCAAACCCAATCTGTCCTCGACTGCCTCTAATACAGGGAGGCGGCGTTGCGTTGTTAAGCAAAACGCTCTTTCAACGGCATCACTAACGCACACCGACGACAAATTCTGACCGCTCAAAGTCATTTTCGTTGGCGGGCATGCGTGCAGACCAGAGGTCGCAAACGGGTTTTGATTCCTTACCCGTACCCGGCCGCACCAGGGTCGCAAATGGGTACCCGTACCCGGCCGGGTACGGGTAGCCGTTCCCTGCCCGTACCCTACCCGAAATGAGTGACAAAAGGCTATTCACCAGTGACTCACGGCCTACCCGTACCCGTAACCGGCCGTACCAGGGTCGCAAACGGCTACCCGTATCCGGCCGGGTACGGGTAGCCGGGTATCGGGTAGGGTACGGGTATCGGGTACCCGGTTGCGACCTCTGGTGCAGACGCACGGCACGCGGTGCCGCGTTGACATCTACCGGGCAGCGACATCAATTACATGAGATAAGGATACGTACGGGGCCCGTGTTACCCCGTGGAGGACAGCAGGGGGCAGTGCAGCAAAGTCCATTGCGCTGCCAGTTCTATCATCATCATCACAACCCATGGGAAAGATAGTCGAGACCAGAGGTGTCCCCAATGCACATTATTCCATCTCATGCCAATGTGCTCCAGTAGTGCCACGTCTTATTCTCTGGCAACGATCTCTCGTGTCGTCGTCAAGACATTCCCTGTGAGGTCTTCCTCTCTTTCCTTGTTCCGAACAATGCACTTTTTCCCAACACACTTTTAATTTTCCTGTTGCTGTCTATCCTACACGTGTGTCCAAATAGTGGCAGTTTCTATGCCCACGGGAATAAACGCGAATAATGACGCATCTCCAATGATGATGGCGACGGTGCTCTCGAAACCGTGTGATCGTGTACAATAAGTACCGTGATTATGATTATGACCGTCATTATGTACACGCACATTGATTATGGTCGTCATTATGTACATGCGCATGTGTTATGATCGTCAGTGGGACTTGTGGAGGAGGCATCTTCACAGCTGTATTTGATAACTCACGACTAGCATGGCTGTCTATGTACGGTGCGAAATAACTTCAACACACACACGTACATAAACACTCGCTTGAGTTTCTCGCCCTGTATGATTGGGACCAGGGCCAACGGTTGGGATGTGAGATTTGCGTCACCAACTTAATTTAGTACTTTCAAACAACAATAATTTAATACATTGGGCAAAGATGCCGCGCGTTTTAGAGCACAGGGCAATCGCGAAATTGGACCTACTCTTCCAGTAGGGGGGGGCGATGCTGCTGCGTCGGTTTGACCTATAGAAGTAACTTGCGGGTAATTACAACTATTTGGCCTTGTTGCGCAAGCGATAAGTCAAGAAATATATCAAGTCTGTGCTCTCCGGTTGCCTGGGTGAAAAAATTGGGGCCGTGCCCTTTGCCCAATCCTCGCCGGCTGGCTCAAAAAAACTCAACAAATAAAATTTGGACCGCGACGGAGACGCGCATGGCCCACCCTTTTTCGAATAACAATACGGGATCTTTAACGGCCACTGTGCGTACATTTTGGTCCAATACAATGGCAGTATTGATGCGCGAGGTGGAGACGTGAGGTGAGGCGCTTTGATTCATCCGAGGCTACTTAAGCAACGCCTGATAAACGCAGAAATTAGAATTCGAATATTTATACTGTAAAAATCCGATGAACTTTTAAGCTCTTTTTCACAGATGTCCAGTGGTGGCGGGTAAGAATGTTACAACAACAAACAGTATAAAAACACGATGGTAATGATGATGGCAATGATGATGGGGTGCTACGGTGGAGGGTTCGATCCAAACCCTGACGGTGCCTTGCATATTTGGAGTTTGCATATTCTCCCAGTGGTCGCGTGGATTTTTCCGGTTTTTCCCTCCACATTTAAGAATCAACGTGCGCTCAGGAGTATTTGGCTGCTATAACTTTCCACGTGACGATAAGCCACTATCGTTGAGCTATAATTCGTGGCAGCCAGGGTCGCTTCCGAAAAAGAGCTCAGTTGGGCCTTACCCGATAAAATAAAAAGTTTCGTCGTTCAGTTTTGAATATCATCTTGGTTCTTTCGGTAAAGTCACGTAGAATGGAAATTATAAAATATTTTTAAAAAACATAATAAAATAATTCTCACGACGTTTCGGCCACAACGCAAGCAGCCGTCCTCAGGTGAAGAACAGGTCTGTTCTTCACCTGTTCTTCACCTGAGGACGGCTGCTTGAGTTGAAGAACAGGTCTGTTCTTCACCTGTTCTTCACCTGAGGACGGCTGCTTGAGTTGTGGCCGAAACGTCGTGAGAATGATTTTATGTTTTATTTTATTATTTCCATTCTACGTGACTTCACCGAAAGAACAAAGAAGATGAATCCCTGCAGTCACGAAAGCTTTAAATCGAAATTCAGTTTTGAATAGTTCACGGAGTGACGCTCTCCGCCCGCGTGAACGAGCAGGCACCCACCTTGCGCACGTAGGACGCGGCGTCCTCCTCCGTGTACACCTCGGCGCTGAACGCCATGCGGCGGCTGCGCCCCTTCACCACGGGGTTCGGCGGCGGCGGGGAGATTTCCTCCTCCCACGAGTCGGACAGCGAGTTGGACATGCGCCGCGACAGGAACTGCTTCGCCTCCTCCTGGCGAGGGCGGCACGGGCGACGCACGGCGAGCGCGTTTGTCATGTCCGCGTATTAATGGGGCGCCACGGTGCGCGAGATGTTAACAATGTCGCCTGATATGCAGGAGCTTATTCACGAAAGATTACAAGGCCATGGCTGCAGTCTCCAAAGCCATTCAAAGAAACGTGCTGTTCTCCCACCTGGATGATGATGAGCGGAGGTGGGTTACCTTCGCAAGCAATATTCTTGTCACGTGCAATTACTCATTGTATGCGACTAATGATGATGGTGGCGAGATGTTAACTAGCTCGCCTGGTACTCAGGAGGTTGTGGGTTCGATCCCAAATATGATGCATGTTGCATATTTTTGGGTTTGCATGTTTCTCTACCCGTGGTCACGTGGATTTTTTTCCGGGTCCTCCGGTTTTTTCCCTCCACAATTAGAATTAACATGCGTTCAGAGCATTTGGCTGCGATGAATTTCCACGCAATAAGCCACTTCGTTCAGCTATCATTTGTGATAGCGCGGTCGCTTCTGAAAAAGAGCCGTATATAAAAATATGACCAACAAATAATGCTATTTGAATGTAAATTATATTATTCTCCTACAGTTAATACACCTTGACAGTAATAACCAGGGCGACCTGCCAGATTCGAACAGCGAACAAGATGGCCAACGCTCACCCCGGCCTGCCATCGTCACGGCCCCACAGCTACACGGCACAGCGACAGAAGGGCAATAAAAAAATCAACCCGTAAAAACAAAGTTTTTCACTATAAATCCTTTATATGCGTGGCGGCTAGAGTCCTCTCGTCCTCTGGCTTGAGATGGCTGCCACCTATGGGTCAGATGATTGCATGCCACCATTAAGCAATTGGTAATTAAATATAATATTTTTGTCCTAAAAGGTGTAAAATTTGGGGAAAAAAAATTTCACGAAAATTAATTGTCACGCACAACGAGTCTGTGTGGAAAATGTCAGCTCGATTGGATCACGGGAAGTGGGTTAAAAAACGACCGAAAGATTTGCACGGTCGTAAGCGCGCAAGCAAGCAAGTGAACTTAATATAAAGGATTTAAAAACAACCAACCCCTACAAGGCAGTAGGAAGCAGACGGAGACTTGCAAAAAGAAACCTCACCTTTTCGAGGCGCTCAAAGTGCTCCCGCAGGAACTGCATCGGTCGCTCGGGGCGTGCGATGCACAGCTGCACGATGCACTGCTTGAGCACGGCCTGGATGCCGTGTCGCTGCACGTACTCCTCGCACTCGCGCAGGCTGCGCTCCTCCTGCTCCATGTTGCCGCTCGACGCCATGGTCGGACTGCCTCGGCGTCTGTCCGCGAGCGGGCGACACGACCACGGTGGCGAGATGTTAACAAGCTTGCCTGGTGTACAGGAGGTCGTGGGTTCGTTCGATCCCGACCGTGATGTCTGCTCTATGTTTGGAGTTTGCGTGTGTCTCTCTCTCTCCCCGTGGTGGCGTTGATTTTTCTCCGGGTCCTCTGGTTTTTCCATCCACACATAGAATCAACACGCATTTAGAGTATTTGGCGACTATAAATTTCCACGTGATAAGCCACTTCCGTTGAGCTATCATTTGTGATAGCCAGGTTGCTTCTCATAAAAGAGCAATATAGCTCAGTGTGACTTGCCTGGGAATTTTTTGTTAAAATATCTTCGTTTTAGTTCAGTAATTCGGGGTCACGCTGGGGTCTGGCCGCTGGGCGAGCAATGACGATTGAGGTTTCAAGTTCAATTCGTTCAGCCACAAACTCACACGAGGACCAGGATAGTCTAATCTTTAAGAGTGACCCGCGATCACCAAACATTGTAAAAAGTCAAAGAAATCAAATAAAGTAGAGCAATGAAGCCAATCGAAAAATCGGAGCAAAAACAGCCGTGTCAAATGAGAGATGGAAAACTACACAAAAGTGCTGTGGTTGAACACAGTTTGGGTGAGACGAAACTGCCCGTCTGATAGACCGATCCTCTGAACATGGGTGAAGGAATCATCTTGGGAGCAGCAACCATGGTAGTCGCAGCAGTGGCAGTAGTTATAGAAGAGTGATAAGGAGGCGATTGCTCAAGGTGACAAGAGGCAGGCGAATTCAACCGAGGACAAAATGGATAACGGGAGGGTCACTGGGCAAGTGATGATGATGATGATTCACAATTCAACGAACTGAGATAATTTGGGGAGTAACGATTAGATTGCGTTTAATGAACCAGCCCCCTTTGTCATTCCACTCCTCTGGTGAAGGACAACCCACCACACACACACAGTGTCGGTTGCGTTGGTTGCTTGACTGTACTTCACTATGCTGTAATAATAGTTTTTTTTACCCCTTTTTCTGGCAACAAAACTGACACCTTTTTTTCAAGGAGTCATGTTTGCATTAACCGCAATACCTGCGGTCAGAATGCAAACAAAAAACAACTCTGATAATGTATGCATTGTCCTTGAAATTGATTGGTCCACAGCAGAGAAAGCTTTTCTTGAAAAAAGGTGTCAGTTTTGTTGCCAGTAAAAAGGGTAAAAAACCTATTAAAATATTTCGCTATGCTGCTTAGCGAGGATGGTTAGTCAAACGAGGGGTGGGAGTGGGTACAAACACCGGCTCAGACAACTGTCCATCTGTTTTGTATTTACAGGGAACGGGTTCATCTTGTCTGCCTTCAATGCACTGTGTATCGCTCACGTCATTAGCCTAGATCAACGCTGCACAAACTACAAACTCGAGGCATCACTTTAACTCGCTGTTATTAAAAGCAGCTCGTTGTGACTTTGAAACTGAAGGAATAACTTTATTGTTTCGCATGACCGCGCGATATAATTAAGTGAACCATCTTGGTCATATATTGGCTCTGTAGGTGACATAATTTGGGGGAGGGGGGTGGTGGGACGTGCATCATTATTGCATCGTATATCTCTCCCTTGATACAGAGACTCCTCTACTTATGAACATTCTCCTTACGAACTTTCAGAGACACGAACAAACCTGGTCCGTATGTCCAGTTGCCTGTTCAGACCGAGAGATCGTAAGTTCAATTGCCACGCAATAGATGGCGGTGGTGACATCTACATCTGCAGGAGAACACATTCCTGCGGAGGGAGCTGGTAGGAACGTTGGGTTGCTCGGTTAATGGCCAGGGTCAACGGCGGCGTAGTGTATTCCGCAAATATGCCCCACTGTGAGGGCGGGCACAAGCCGGCGTGAGTAGGTTAAACGTTGAGTTTTATAAGGGCACCACGGGGTGACCAGCCCCTCCCCACCCCTCCCCACCCTCCCACCCCCACCCAGTCCCACCCTCCCCACCCAGCCCCTCCCCACCCTCCCCACCGAGCCCCACCCTGCCCTCTCTCTCTCTTAAGAGCTCTTCAAAATTTATATTTCTCATAAGCTTAAGCAGCCGAGTGTGGCCTTTGTTTAAGTTACCTGGGGGTCTTAAATCAACGTAACAAAACACACGTCCGTTGTACCAACATTAGGAGCCATCAACAAAGTGCAGTCTTGCCGTATTACTGCCACAAGTGACGTTTAATCAATTACGTGAATAATTTCCACCCCTATGAAACTCCATTTGCAACTACATCACATCAAGGCACTTTACCATCTTGACAGACAATAAAAGTACAAAAACATATCAAACAAAAAAGCAATCCCATTAAAAACTTGGAACCGTAAACACGTGGGGTGGGGGGGGAAACGCGTCATTTATAAAATTAACACATAAAAACTAAGTTTTTCACTATAAATCCTTTATATGCGTGGCGGCTAGAGTCCTCTCGTCCTCTGGCTTGAGATGGCTGCCACCTATGGGTCAGATGATTGCCTGCCACCATTAAGCAATTGGTAATTAAATATAAAAAAATCCTAAAGTGTAAAATTTTAGAATTTTTTTTCACGAAAATAAATTGTCACGCACAACGAGTCTGTGTGCAAAATGTCAGCTCGATTGGATCACGGGAAGTGGGTAAAAAAACGACCGAAATATTTGCACGGTCGTAAGCGCGCAAGCAAGCAAGCAAGTGAAGTTAATATAAAGGATTTAAAAATACAAAAAAGTATCAAATAAAAAAGCAATCCCATTAAAAACTTGGAACCGTAAACACGTGAGGTGGGGGGGAAACGCGTCATTTATAAAAGGAACAAATACGCTTACAGAGAACTGCACTCCTCACACAAAGTCTATGGGAAAAAAAAGAGACGTTTACGCAACGCATAAGCTTGCAAACGTATTTAATATCAGCGCTCTGAAATTACACGGCTTTTAACGGCGAGCAAATATACCGTGCTGTCTGTACTAATTTGGTTTAAGGGCAACGCAACCATAACAGTTTAAAAAAAAATGGAACGTGGAGTCACTGCCTTTCTTAGTCAAACTAATGAAACGTGGAATTATACTGCATGAAGACGCCGTCACGAAAAACATCTCAACAATGCATCCATTTAAAAGCAATGCAACTCACGGAGAAGCACAAAAACCCAGTTTGACAAGTCAGGCCAACCAAAGGGGCTTGGCAGGCGTCAACCTCAAGGCAAATAGGTGCACATCTGCGCCGCTAAAATTACTCCAGTCCAGTCAAACTTGTCATCCCCTGCTGAATGAGAGGGGGGGGCCCTCTCTCCACGCCTGTGCAGGAGGCGAGGGTTATTTTAAACGCGCTTGAACATGCAAGTCAGTGCGGGTAGGTAAAGCGCAGCATAGACGTGAAAGCATAGATGTACAGGATAACACTGGTAGGAACCTCCTGGTTACAGCAGCCCACAGGGGATTATTCTGTCCGTCCGTCGTGCAGGGAGGGGCTTGGTGGGGAGGGAGGGGCTTGGTGGGAAGGGAGGGGTTGGGTGGGGAGGGGAGGGTGGGGAGGGGATGGGTGGGGAGGGAGGGGCTGGGTGGGGAGGGTGGGGAGGGGCTGGGTGAGGAGGGTGGGGAGGGGTTGGGTGGGGAGGGGCTGGGTGAGGAGGGGCTGGGTGGGGAGGGGATGGGATGGGTGGGGAGGGTGGGGAGGGGCTGGGTGTGGAGGGTGGGGCTATACTCAACGTTTAACCTACTCACGCCGGCTTGTGCCCGCCCTCACAGTCGGGCATATTTGTGGAATACACCACGCCGCCGTTGACCCTGGCCATTGACCGAGCGACCCAACGTTCCTACCAGCTCCCTCCGCAGGAGGAATGTGTTACGTAACTGAACTTACAACACTGCCCTCAGCTGTCCACCACGTAGCACCTCTGACACCATGGAGAGCTGTCCGTGTGTGGTAATCACCCATGCAAACCTCACATTGAAATCTAGATTGAAATGTAATTTATTTGCAACCGATGTTTGTGTTTAGGCACCTACTATTCTCACGGTTGGCTACGTACGGTGCGAAAGAAGTTCAACATACGTTCGTCCAACTCTGCTTATATTGGGTGCATTCTGGGAAAATTGGGCATGCTCCATTGAAATTAATCAAATATTGGATGTTGTAGAGTCATTAACAGCCCTGAGCTAACGTTGCACATTCCATATTCTTATGGTGAGGCCAGTCTATCTATATAGAGCGGCCACTACTGATACAGAATTGACATAAATAGTTTTGTGCACCTATGAAAACAAACGGTATGCTAAGAGGACACTTTAGGGCAATCGGACACGATTTCCTAAATGTACCGTTTATAAACGGCAAAAATATTAATCTGCAATACTTCCTTGAATGCAGATTGCATATACAATATTGTAAATGCTCACCGGGAAGTATGCTTGAACTATTAATGCCTTGTTCATTAAAGAAAATCCACTGTAAAAAAAAAACTGCAGTTTTCAGGAAGCCAGATTGAAATCTTAAGGATGAAGCCAATATTCGAAGCAAAACTAAAGTGTGTATTTATATACGTCATACCGTACATAAATACAATATTGTACATTTTAAACACGTATGCATGTAATACTCTATATATTTATATTATCGATACCAGTTCATGAAGCCTGTCTTCGCCAGGTGAAAGCTTTCAATAAATATAATAATTAGCCGATGATTTTTTTTGTACAATTTATATCTACAATCAGACACTAACAACTAGTCAAAAAATATTTTTTTTTTCACAGAAAAAACTAATATTGTTGATTTGATTCCGTTTAAAGACATATCCATCGGAAACTGCTCAATTTAGAGATTCCGTTATTATTTTAGTAGAAAGAACAAAAATGAATTAATTTATAACTCTACGAGAAGCTCTCCTATATTTTACCGTTTTCGAGTTATTCCGATTTGAACATCATAAAATGTGTATTTTTTATTTCAAAACCGCTTGAATCAGAAATATCTGAAAAAACAATAAAATATGGTACAATGTTTCTCGCTTTAATTTTATATGCTGTCTAACGCTCTATCAAACGAAACAAAACACAGTATTATATTTTGAACGCTTTCTGAATAACACGCACACACATGTTTATGGGTTACGTAAAATCGAGATTTGGGGGCCTTAAAATGAAAAATCTCGGATTTTCAGCTTTTTCCTGTTGTTTGTGTCCTAAAATTTCAGCTTTCTACCTTGAGGTTTTTGAGACATACATAGTGATTAAGGTCTTTATTCATTTCTAAGATATTGTATTCCTTAACACAGATGAATAAATTTGTTACATTATTATCCATATATAAAGCATTCCTTTAAAGTTTAAATTGACTTTGAACATAGCTTTCGATGTGGTTATTTTGCTCTCAAAACAATTTGACCACACCTAACGCACAGTATTCAACATATACTCTGACAAGGGTAGAGAGTTAAGTGCTTTTGCCTTCGGGTATCGGGTTCTCTGGCATCAACTGAAGCCCAGCCCTGCCGCAATGCACTGTGGGAATGCCGTCCCAACAAACTCTGCTGAACCAGATTAACGTGTGAAAATATAGAAATGTGACGATGACAACAGTTATTTGCATGAGTGGATAGCAATCAAAGAGGTTCTTCATGAAGAATATATTAATGATAATGTGCTTATTAGTGCCATATGAATTATATTTTCTCTGTCATGTGAATATGAAATTTCAACAACCGACTGACTCACGGCTGTAATGAGGAAACAAACAAGGCTTGACTGTACACTCGCTTGAAACGGAAACCACTTATGAATGTTTCGCTTACGCACTGGCTCCAAGACAAAATCTATCTGTACGGCTACCCAAATTGCATTAACTATTGTTATGGCCTGGTAACCACACAATTACTCGGGTGTGGACTAATCAACTTCAAGGACAGTGCATACATTATCAGAGTTATGTTTTTTGTTTGCATTATGACTGCAGGTATTGTGGTCTATGCAAACATGACTCCTTGTAAAAAAGGTGTCAGTTTTGTTGCCAGATAAAAGGGTAATAAAACCAATTATCATGTTTTTTACTGGCAAATGAGGTTCCAATGGTGTAAATGCTTACCCGAGCTCTCATACTCTGATGGTGCATTGTCTTTGAGTTGTGTGCCTTTTGGCGTCATCTGGTCCAACACCATGTGAGACTAGGCTCTAAGGAAAGCTGTCTCGGGTGTGGACCAATCAACTTTAAGGACAGTGCATACAGTATCAGAGTTATGTTTTTTTTTGCATGACTGCAGGTATTGTGGTCTATGCAAACATGACTCCTTGTAAAAAAGGTGTTAGTTTTGTTGCCAGATAAAAGGGTAAAAAAACACAATTATCAGTTCACACTTAATACGTAAGTTGAAATTCTTTCGCATTGTACGTAGTCAAACGTGCTCATCAGAGGTGCGGGGGTTAGACAACAAACTAAACACAAACGCAGTTCTGAAGAAATTAGTTTTCAATCTAGATTTAAAAGTGCATAGCTTCCAGTGGCTTCCTAATATCGGAGGAGCGTTCCAGACGGCCGCAGAAACGCGCCTGAAAGCGCGCGATGCAGTGACCATCACGCACTCAAATACACCGCACACTTGAACACATGCTGTACTTTAACAGATTAACGCACATTAACACTTTCACTCCCGTGTTAAAACATACATTTACATACATTTGTACTTAGCGAAGGTTGCTGCAGGGAAGTACTTGGCAAAAGCATGGTAGATAAGTAATGTTTTTTTTTACTTTTTTAAAAACACGCTTTTATGAAATGTACTAGTAATGGCAGAACTCCACGACTCCAGGAAGTGGCCCCAAAGCTTGCCATAACGTAAGGGACCGTGTTCAATTACAGCCAACGTCAGTTTACCATGGACAATTAGACCCAAGCCGAAACATAACATATAAAAAAGATTGCTTACAAATATATTTTTTATTTGTATGATAGAATATAGTATTGTCATCAGTATGACATAAGTATGCCAAGTTTGCAGTCGATACCACATTGGGAAGTGGGTTAAAATTGAGTTACAGGATTTGAGGATACAACAACGACAACAACAGACAGAGTGAGTTAAATGAAAGCGTGTAAAAATGATGATAGGTCAGGAGCATATAGATCGCTTCTGGAGCGATGTCAAAAACCCTCAGTGCATAATATTTTTTTCATGTGGCACATTAATATTGATCATTATGCATGAGTAATATTATTGGGGAAAGTCTCACAATGTATTACTCACAGCGGTGCCATGGCCGGACTTAACAGAGGCCAGGGAGGTTTTTAGCTGCTGAAATCTGAACGATTCGAATACATTAACCTTAATTTACAAGGTCTAACATATTTGGAAAATAATGTTACGTAACATGGAATATTTCCATGCACTGTGCATTACATAAAGCATCCTATGGTCATTGCACATACAACGATGCAAAGCCAATTAAACTATGCTAAGTCGTATAGACTTGTATGTAACATGATAATAGGTTTTTCCCCTTTTTCTCTGGCAACAAAATAGGTGTTAAGATGTTAAAACACCAAACTGAAACCTTTAACAAGGAATCATGTCTGCATTAACCACAATGCTTGTGGTCAGAATGCAAACAGAAAAAAGGGGAAAAAACCTGTCATCATATTTTGGTACTGGCAAAGAAGGTCCCATGATGTAGATGCTCACCCCGAGCTCTCATTACTCTGACAGTGCGTTGTCTTTGGGCTGTACGCCTTTTGACGTCCTCTGGTCTAACACCGTTTGAGACGAGGCTCAAAAGAAAGCTGTCTCTGGTGTGGACAAATCAGTTTCAAGAACAATGCATATATTATCAGAGTATGTTTTTTGTTTGCATTCTGACCAAAAGCATTGTGGTTAATGCAGACACGATTCCTTGTAAAAGGTTTCAGTTTGGTGTTTTAACATCTTAACACATGTTTTGTTGGCAGAAAAAAGGGGAAAACCATATTATCATATTTTGGAACTGGCAAAGGAGGTCCCATAATGTTGTATGTAACATCTTTTAGAAAAATGTGGAAAGGAATTGTGATGTTGAAAACGAAAACGTGGAGAATCCAATCAAGTTCTCTCTTTGGTACCTCAGGTTTTCCCACATGCAAAATACTCATTACAGAAGGAATGTGTCAAACATTGCTATCCTGAACCATCCTGATAAATGCTTTCCTGGAAAGGGCATTATTTATAAACTTATATTAGCTTAACCAGTTAGGCACCCATTAAATGCATATTATACTTAATGAAACTTGGAATAATGTAATATTGCAAAATATGATACAAATCTTAAAAGCATTGATGTACAATGACCAAAACATACAAAAGTTACAAATGAAGAGTAATAAAACAAATATTTTCCCCATACTCAAACGAACGTTTGGTCAGGAACATATTGATTGGCACCCATAAATATGTGGTGGGCAATTCCACATTCCTACAGCTGGAGGAACATTCGAAAAATCCATCATGATCAACCTGATGAAGGCATCCCCAAAGCTACCTACAACTCTCCGGATCTGCACACGAGCTGATTTCATCGTTCCATCTCCTCATCAGAGAGCCTCTCAGACATGTTGAATTCCTTAGATTGCTCGTCCGTCATTATTCCTGACCACTATCATCATCCCTCCTTGCAACCTGCCTTGCCCGAGGCCACTTTCTTTCCTTAGCAGGTGTAATATCATCTCTCCAACTTGAATGCGTTCTGTATGTAATCTATGCGTGCCTTTTCCTAGCTCTAAATGTAATTCGGCACTTTAAGTTGATATAAAAAAACGTGTCAACGACCATATTCCTGCACCAAGTTATAACGATTTAAATGTAACAAAAAAAACATTCCGGCAGATTTGTCTAAATAATAATGTTAAAAAATGTGTTTAATTCGCATGTTTTAAAATCACATATAACTAATAATAAATAAAAACAAACGCTCCAGCGTATGAGAAAATGTCTAAGGTCAGAGAAAGGGCGCGTTTGAGGGACATGAAACATGTTTACAAAATGCCACTGCGGGCATGCTGCAACGTCACTAAAAACATCAACATTACAAACCAAAAAAAAACTTGCGGAAAAAATCCTCAAAACGATGGCCCAAACGAGTCTGGAGGTCGTTAAAATCCATCCGAAGCGGTCAAACATCTCAAAATTAACTTAATTTTTGTTTAAAAACAAAAACAACCCAACCTCGTTCACACGAAAGCCACGAATTTGCCACTTTTCAAGGCCCCCCCCTCACTTCTCTCGCCCCTCCCGTACCTGTTTCTTAGGGTTCACGGCTGAAACAGTACTTGACGACTGTTCGTCTCGCGACGGCAGGGTGGAAGGACACCTCGAGTCGTTGTTTTTTGTACTATTTATTGTTGTTATCGTCGTTGTTAAAATAAATAAAAAAAATCGAGAGGGTTACGGACGCGTACGATGCGACGGACGGACGGACGGCGACTGCGGCGGCGGCGTTGGCAGTAGGTGGCGAATCGCCTCCTGGCACCACGTGATGCGGTGACGTCAATGGGAATCGATTCCAAGATGTTGAAACGTTCAGCGTAAGTCAACGTCGATTTTTGGATCGATTCCGGTAAAAATGTTTAAAATATATTTATTTAAATTTTGATTTAAAGCTTTTCGTGACTGCAGGGATTCATCTTCTTGGTTCTTTCGGTAAAGTCACGTAGAAGGGAAGTAATAAAATAAAATTAAAATTGTGGCCGAAACGTCGTGAGAATAATTTTATTATGTTTTATTTTTATTATATTTATTTATTTGTTAAAACTTTGGAATGAAAAGTAAAACACAGCGCTGTGGCCCAAAGAAGGTCGTGTTTGAATCAGTGCCTCTTAGGGGCCGTCCATAAATGACGTCACGCACCTAGGGGGATGGGATGGGGGTCAGACATTTGTGACGATGTGTGACGAGGGGCGGGGGGGTTTGAGAAATGTGACGTCACATCAAAATGCGCAACTTTAAATAAATATAGACAACACGTTCTACTTAATTAAATATACTTTTTACTAAATGTTCTCTCCTACAACATCATAGTGCAGCGCCACATTAAATATGCACTACAATGACAATAGTTGAAAGCGATTTGAAGCATGTTTTATTTTCAAAATGTAAAAATGATTTTGGGGAGGGGGGGCAGAGCTTTGTGACGTCATATTTGAGGGGGGGGGGGTCTGACTTTTTGTGACGCCATGTGACGAGGGGGGGGGGGTAAAAAATCGTCCAAAATCGCGTGACGTCATTTATGGACGGCCCCTAATCCAAAAAAACCTATTTCATGGATGATATTGCGACCACGGGCAGAGAGAGACACGCAAACTCCAAATATACAGCAGCAGGCGTCAGAGTCAGGATCTAACCCACGACCTCCTGTAGACCAGGCGAGGTAGTCAACATCTCCTAGCCACCGTGATGATGATGAGAGAGAAACACGCACACTACAAATATACAGCAACATGCGCCAGGCTCGGGATCTAACCCACGTCCTCCTGTATACCGGGCGAGGTAGTTAACATCTCCTAGCCACCGTGATGATGATGAGAGAGACGCAAACTCCAAATATACAGCAGCAAACGTCAGGGTCGGGATCGAACCCACGACCTCCTGTGTACCAGGCGAGGTAGTTAACATCTCCTAGCCACCGTGATGATGATGAGAGAGACGCAAACTCCAAATATACAGCAGCAGGCGTCAGGGTCGGGATCGAACCCACGACCTCCTGTGTACCAGGCGAGGTAGTTAACATCTCCTAGCCACCGTGATGATGATGAGAGGGTCAGGATCTAACCCACGACCTCCTGTAGACCAGGCGAGGTAGTTAACATCTCCTAGTCACCGTGATGATGATGAGAGGGTCAGGATCTAACCCACGACCTCCTGTATACCAGGCGAGGTAGTTAACATCTCCTAGCCACCGTGATGATGATGAGAGGGTCAGGATCTAACCCACGACCTCCTGTAGACCAGGCGAGGTAGTTAACATCTCCTAGCCACCGTGATGATGATGAGAGGGTCAGGATCTAACCCACGACCTCCTGTATACCAGGCGAGGTAGTTAACATCTCCTAGTCACCGTGATGATGATGAGAGGGTCAGGATCTAACCCACGACCTCCTGTAGACCAGGCGAGGTAGTTAATATCTCCTAGCCACCGTGATGATGATGAGAGGGTCAGGATCTAAGCCATGATCTCCTGTATACCAGGCGAGGTAGATAACATCTCCTAGTCACCGTGATGATGATGAGAGGGTCAGGATCTAACCCACGACCTCCTGTAGACCAGGCGAGGTAGTTAACATCTCCTAGCCACCACCGTTCTCACATTAGACAACGTATATTGATTCCAATCGAAATTTGCCGAAACGATTATGACAAAAAGATAACAATTCTACACGGTACATTCTTCATTATTTTACACACCATCTGGTCGGTGTAGAAAGAGTAGGTCAAATATCCTCGACAGTAATGGGTGTTGAACTTCTTTCGCACCGTACGTAGCCAATTGTGATAATCGCCACGGTGGCTATGAGATGTTAACTACCTCGCCTGGTCTACAGGAGGTCGTGGGTTCGATCCCGACCCTGACGCCTGCTGTTGTATATTTGGAGTTTGCGTGTCTCATCATCATCACGGTGGCTAGGAGATGTTAACGACCTCGCCTGGTATACAGGAGGTCATGGGTTCGATCCTGACCCTGACGCCTGCTGTATATTTGGAGTTTGCGTGTCTCTCTGTCATCATCATCACGGTGGCTTGGAGATGTTAACTACCTCGCCAGGTATACAGGAGGTCGTGGGTTAGATCCCGACCCTGACGCCTGCTATTGCTGTATATTTACAGTTTGCGTGTCTCTCTGTCATCATCATCACGGTGGCTAGGAGATGTTAACTACCTCGCCAGGTATACAGGAGCTCGTGGGTTAGATCCCGACCCTGACGCCTGCTATTGCTGTATATTTGAAGTTTGCGTGTCTCTCTGTCATCATCATCACGGTGGCTAGGAGATGTTAACTACCTCGCCAGGTATACAGGAGGTCGTGGGTTAGATCCCGACCCTGACGCCTGCTATTGCTGTATATTTGAAGTTTGCGTGTCTCTCTGTCATCATCATCACGGTGGCTTGGAGATGTTAACTACCTCGCCAGGTATACAGGAGGTCGTGGGTTAGATCCTGACCCTGACGCCTGCTGCTGTATATTTGGAGTTTGCGTGTCTCTCTCTCTCATCATCACGGTGGCTAGGAGATGTTAACTACCTCGCCTGGTATACAGGAGGTCGTGGGTTCGATCCCGACCCTGACGCCTGCTGCTGTATATTTGGAGTTTGCGTGTCTCTCTCTCTCATCATCACGGTGGCTAGGAGATGTTAACTACCTCGCCTGGTATACAGGAGGTCGTAGGTTCGATCCCGACCCTGACGCCTGCTGCTGTATATTTGGAGTCTGCGTCTCTCTCTCTCTCATCATCATCACGGTGGCTAGGAGATGTTAACTACCTCGCCTGGTCTACAGGAGGTCGTGGGTTCGATCCCGACCCTGACGACTGCTGCTGCTGTATATTTGGAGTTTGCGTGTCTCTCTCTCCACGTGGTCACGTGGATTTTTCTCCGGGTCCTCCGGGTTTTCCCTCCAACATTTATAATCAACAAAATTACGAGTTTTAAAAGTTATTTGGATGCTCAAATGGTGCTTGGTTGAAAAAATAACGACATCGCTCAGCGAGCCTTATTTGGTAAAAAAAAAATATTGTTTAGTTTTCGTTTAGGGGCCGTCCTAAATGACGTCACGCACCTAGGGGAGGGGGGGGTCAGACATTTGTGACGATGTGTGACGAGGGGGGGGTGGGTTGAGAAATGTGACGTCACATCAAAATGCGCAACCTTAAATAAATATAGACAACACGTTCTACTTAATTAATAGACTTTTTAATAAATGTTTTCTCCTACAACATCAGAGTGCAGCGCCGCATTAAATACGCACTACAATGACAATAGTTTAAAGCGATTTGAAGCATGTTTATTTTTTTTGGGGGGGGGGGCAGAGCTTTGTGACGTGATATTTTACCTTTTGTGACGTCATATTTTACCTTTTGTGACGTCGTGTGACGATGGGGGGTGGGGGTCAAAAATCGTCCAAAATTGCGTGACGTCATTTATGGACGGCCCTTTTTAGGGGAATTCCAGAGTGGAGTAGTGCGAGGAAATAAGCAGACAGCGCAAACAGTTTGCATGTTTATACTCTTAAATGGGCAGATAACGAGAGGAATCGGAATCGATTTTATTTTTAGTGGTCGATACCGCTCTTTAAATAAATACAACTTTCCTTCCCTGCGTGACGTCAGCACGTTTAATTACCCATCACGCTGGGTGACGTCAGTGATGAGTACGTCTGACGTCACCACGCAAAGCATTTGCCGCGGGTGACTTATGCAGATCAGCTCTCGGGACTGCGTAATGACGTCATTACGCAGCTGCGTAATGACGTCATTACGCCGCGGCGCGGTGACATCACCCTCAGTCACCCACGTGGAATCCGTACACAACACGGCTATATAATGACGTCGCCAATATGACGTAATGTCGGCAGCAATATGACGTAGTGACGTCACCAATATGACGTAATGACGTCATGAGATTTGTATTTTATCATGTTTGATTTTTATTTTTTATTATTTTCCTTCTACGTGACTTTACCGAAAGAACCAAAATAAACCACAATAAAATAAATAGTTGTATTTTTATTATTTTATTATTTCCCTTCTACGTGACTTTACCGAAAGAACCAAGAAGATGAATCCCTGCAGTCACGAAAGCTTTAAATCGAAATATGACGTTATGACGTCACCAATGTTCCGCCGTAGAAACGTCATTACGTCACGATCAGTCGACACTGATTTGTTTAGGACTACGTGGTGACGTCATTACGTCGTCAAGACGGAACGCACTGAGTGGACGGGCCTTCCTGGTGACGTCATTACGCCGTCGAGACCTGAGACACCAAACTTGACGCCTACGTGGTGACGTCATTACGTCGCCAAGACCTCGCGCAACCGGGTTTGCCAGGCCTACGTGGTGACGTCATTACGGCGCGGTGACGTCCTCCGTCTCCATACGTGGTGACGTCATTACGCCGCCAAGACCTCGCGCAACCGGGTTTGCCAGGCCTACATGATGACGTCATCACGGCGCGGTGACGTCCTCCGTCTCCATACGTGGTGACGTCATTACGCCGCCAAGACCTCACGCAACCGAGCTTGCCAGGCCTACGTGGTGACGTCATCACGGCGCGGTGACGTCATCCGTCTCCAGGGGTAACGAGGCGAGTAACAACGATGGCGTCCAACCCGTCTGTGTTTCTCGTGATGGCGAGCGGGCAGATAGAAGGCGGCGAGGTGAGGCGATGTCTCCTCTTGCAATGCAGACACGCGAGCACGCACGCACACACACCCCCCCATTGCTGTGTTCAACCACAGCTCAAAACAAAGCCCACC